TTCTAAGCAAAAAAAAAAAGCAAAATGACTACGTTATGATGCAACTTTTGTTTAAAGATTAATGAAAACCAGCCAAATGTCTCATTTTGAAAAATCAGGTCAGTACAAATACACATATATCCTTTTTCTTTGTCAACAACAGCAACAAAAACCCAGTAAGAGTAATTAAACCTGGCATACCAGCCAAAAGTCTCAAGCTCAGATAAATACAGTACCCCAAACCTAAGGCAACTATTTGAAGAGTTCCAATTTCTTGGTAAGTGTATCAAATTTAAAGATTTCCACTATAAAACTACCTGGCCCTTTAGAATTGTTTGGCTGTGAAAGACCAGCCTGGCTTTATGGGTGAGCACAACCAGGTGCAGAAAGTTTCCTATCAGACTAGGAGGATTTAAAATACTCCACCAGTTACAGGTTTGAGAAATGATCCAGGCTACTGAAAATAACTTTATATTGATATTTCTCCACTGGTCTTTATGATAAACAAGTCTGAGTTGAAATGGTGAGTGGAAAAAATGCCCCTTGCTCCCTGCAGAAAGGTATTACTCAACACCCAACACACATGGATCCTAAAAGAATGACAAGCCCAAGCTTTTAAAAAGTGATAATATTATAAAAATTATTTGGTAAAGCTTTTCATTCTCAAACAGTTGGTTTCTTGACAATGTGTTTCTGCAGCTCACAAGCACACATATAATAAAAACCTCATCAAGAATAGATCCCTGCAACGGGACAGATATGTAGCTGGAAGCTGTGAAAGTTCACACTTCAGAAAAATCAAACTAAGAAACTGCTGAGCCCTGTTAATTGTTTCTTAAAAAAAAAAAAAAAACAAGCCAAAACATAAACTGTAAATAGCTAATCAGAGAGATTCTTGACTGATCTGCATAACAGCAAGTTTTATTAAGCTGCCATGGATTTCTTACATAAAAGTATGTGGATTACAATTTTTTTTTTCTTTCTACACATATGAAACCTTGAGAAAAAAATACTGAAATTAGAAGCACACACACACTTTAGTTATTTTTGTCCACTGAAACCAAACTCCTATGACAGACTAGCACAGAAACCCATACAGAAAGCCAAGGCTAAGCTAATGTCTTGAGGCAGCTCATTAAAAAAATAATAAATTTTAAAAATCTACACAGTGCTAAGAAGTGTGTGTGTGTGTGTGAGCTGGGGGAGCACAGAGCCAGCAATGCCCAACCAACACTCTACCAGCTCCATGGGCTCTCCCCAGCAACAGGGAGCTTCCAGAAATGCACTTTTAAAGGAGCTGTGTGCCTTGAATCCTTTCCATGTGAAAAATGCAGCTCCAGGAAAACGCCAGCTTCGATGCTCTTGTTTTCACCAGGCAGCAGAAACCAGCAGGAGAGCAACAAAGCCTGGGATGTCTGGGGTTTATTCAAGGGAACAGGCAGGAGGGGAAACACACAGAATTCCTTTGGTGTAATATATTTTGTTTTATTGCTTCTGCAGCACATTAGAGTCGAGTTCACGGATGAAGTGAACTCCAAGTACAAGTTCAGAACACCCACGGCTGTGCTCCTGTGTTGGGAGCAAACAAGGCACTAGTGGGTCAGTTGACAGATTTTTCCAATTCTGGAAGTCAAATTAAAGAAATTAGTTTGGTATTTTTTCTTGTTAGAATCAACTGAAGAGATTTTCAGTGAAACAAATTGGAGAGAGCAGTTCACACTTTCTGCTTGCACCATCAGCATGGTGACTCAAGGCACGCATCCTAATTTTGCTTCTTTTTAAAAAAAAGTCTTTTGCAACTGTTATTTATGCCCAACAGCACAAGGAATAATGAGGCCTCCATACCCCAAATCTCGGAATTTGCCCTCTACTAAAGCCATGAGAGAACTGCAGCTAAGTGACTTAACTGATAAGCACAGTCAACTTCAGAGCTCCTTGGAGTCCCAAGTTTTACAACCCCCAAACAAATCAATCTTTCTTTCACTGGCTGTGTATAAAACATAACATTTGCTTCAAGAGGTCTAGAAGCCTTTTGAATACAAAACAGGAAAGTCACCAGGAGGGGGTGGGAAGGGGGTGAAAACCAGTACTTTTTTGGAGTGCTGACCCATTAGAGCTAACACACCCATCCCTGACACTGCATCAATGCAGAAAAAAGAGAAAAAAAATGCAGCCTTTTGGCTCCTAATCATTAAGTCTGACACAGAACAACTGAACAATGAAGAAAGTTGAATTGCATTGCAAATTTATGTTCCATGCCCAGGTTATGGAATGTAGTGCAATAGGGCACTGGGCAGCAACAAAACTGCATTCCTTACAGAGGGAACAGCTTGAACTCATGATTTGTGCATGTGGGCAATACTGAGTGACCTTCATGCTTTCAGTATTCACTAGAAGGCAGATTTATGTGTAATCACAAGTCAGCTGTTTTGTTTTTGGGGACAAACATGTATTTGGAAGAGCAAAGGTTTAAACTTTGTATTAAGCAGCAAATGCAGAAGCCAATACATTAGCTTTAAAAGCTGAATTTGAAGACTACACGCCAATATCCAGACTGGATAATATTAGAATCTGAGAGAATGGTTGTTTGCTGCTCTCTTTTCTGTTTCCTTTGAGAGAGATATGCTCATACTTCAGTTCCATTAGAAAACAGGAGCCTCTCTAGCATATACCTTATCTAAAAAGATGTCCCGTTTCAATGTAAGAGATCCAACGCCCACAATGGACAAAGAAAGTGATATTGCTCTTGCTGTAATGGACATAATACAAAACTATCTGTATTTTAACAATGAAAACCCATCACATTTTATTTTAAAGAAGCACTGCCTGTCTCTTATTTACAATTTTCTTAGGCATGAAATACACCTTTGGATAAGGTGCCAACTGAACTGGACTGCAGTACAACAGATCCTAGGACAGTATTATTAAAATAGCCAGCAGCTGGTTGCACTAAAACCATCCCCAGGATACAATGATCAGTAAATTCTGAGTTTTATTTAACAGACCAAGATGATAAACCATAGATTATCTAAAGCTTCTGCATCACAGCCCTTGAACTCCTGGAAAAGAAGTTCTAACTTAGATTTAAAAGAAGTCGAGAGACAACATTGGGCACAACTATTTCCTGATATGCAGAGACATGAGGGAATGGGACAGGATTAATGATTTTTCCTGTACATCCAAAAATCAAGACAATTAAGAAGCATGTAGAACCATACAGTTCCTGATGTTCCAAAGCAAATGGCAAGGAAAATCTTATTTACAAGCATGTGAGATAAAGCAACAGACTTTTGATTCTCAACTTCCTGCGAGTAGCTGTAAGGAATTTAATTGCTACCTCACAACCTGATGTGCCCCTTTCTCAGGTACCTGTACAAAAAACCCACCTGCTGAACAGAAGAAAGTTGAATACTGAACATATAACAAATTTTCATACAAAACTGCCAACGGAAGCACACAAGGCTCTGAGACAATTCATAAACCCACACAGGTCTTTATATAAGGTTAATGGTTTGCTAGCCAAGTGCCAAGGTTCACAAAACGGGTAATTTTTGTTTCTTTTTTTAAATCAGGTTTGAACTTTGTGGATTTTTCCTAACCACACTTCACGAAAATCTCAGCAGCAACCTAGATGGGCAGAGGATATTTTACTCAGAGGTGTTCTCAAACACCTTATTAATAAGAGAGCACAGGAAAGCCTTAACCCCTCAGCTATGTACTTCTGTTTGCTGATGCTGGGTCAGGCAGCACGACAGCAGTCTGAGCATACTTGGATGACTAACACTGAAACGGGCTGAAAACAGCAGCAATCATGACAGAGACAATAAAGAACCCCAGCAATTGCACACAGCTCCAAGGGAAGAAATATCATTAAGAATTGCTTTTAAAAAAACGCAGGGAAAACACAGTTATGATGCCCAAACGTGCTTTCTTAAAGGCCATTTTTCATTAAAGGGATTATGTATGATATTAACAACACACCCATAAATAAAGGATATGGCATAAGGAAATATGAGCATAAAATCTTGAATGAAAGTTTAAGGCAAACAGATTACAAAGTGTTGTAATAGAATGACTAATACGCCAAAGGAACGCGCACAGTGCTAAAAAAATAGTGATAATTTTAAAACCTGTCTTGTGAAATGAAAGACAGCAGTGTATTGAGCTAAAATCTTTTGGAGATCTTAATATACACCACTGTCTTTACCACAGTGCTTCAAACAGAAAATTCCTCTGAAGCTTGTAATTCATGAAGAGACCACGCAGAGGAATGATGGGCTAAAAGGGCAGAAATAAACTGGCTGTTCCACATGGATGCACCGAGGGGTGCTTCAGGATGCTCTCCCCCTCTCCTGGGGCACATAGGAAGGACACTCCAGCACTCAAGGAACGCGTACAAGGTAGCTGCTTTCCCCAAAAGTCATCACCTCAGGTCTCCCATGGAGATCAACAGCAAGGAACATAAAAAGGGGGTTTAAGGAATGTTTCCTGCAATGTGCAAAACGCTGTGTGCAGACTGGGGGAGTAAACCGAGGAGGGAAGGAGGAGCACTGGTGGGCTCGTGTGCCTCTCCTCGGCTGCACTGGAGAACAATTTCAGCTGAGGAACAGGGTTAGGGTTACAAAGACAAGCTTGAGACTAAGGGTGGGGTATAAAAGGTTCTTAAAACGTGGCAAGTGATGAGGTAAAGGCTAAATGTTTAAAAGAGGGCAAACAGCACAAAGATGCACTCGGTGAAGGGTCCTCAGAGGCTGCCAGAGCACACCATGGGCTCGAGGGCGCAGCGTGCGAGGTGCGTGGGAGGCGAAGAGCAGGAAATTTGCAGGAGGAAGGCGCAGGGCACAGCCTGGAGGACGGGAGGGGAGGACAGGTGAAGCAGCCGAGGGAAGGCTGGGGGCAGGTTGAGGCACAGCACGCCGGCAGCGCCTGGCAGGGGGCTCGGCAGGGGAGAGGCGGCCGGAGCGAGGGGCAGGGCTCGGCCGGGGCCGGGGCACGGCGGGGCACGGCCGGGCCGGACCTACCTGGGCGTCTTGGCCGCGGCGCTCTCCCGGCGGTCCAGCACCCCGGGCACGCAGTTGGTGAGCTCGGTCCAGTCGGCGTGCAGCCCGCAGCTCCAGCCCGTGGAGAAGCGCGAGAAGAGCCAGGTCTCCCTGCGGTTGGGCCGGTAGCAGGTGCACTTCTTCTGCCCGGGCCGGCAGTCGCACGGCACCTCCAGCCGCACGTTCTGCACCAGGTGGCGGCCGAAGGTGGTGCCGCCGGTCTTCTGGATGTGCAGAAAGACGATCACGTCCTCGCCCTTCATGTCGAACGCGAGCTCCCGCTCCAGCTCCCGCACGGGGAAGTAATACTTCTTCACGTAGTGAGGGTCCGGCGTGGGAAAGAGGTCCAGCTCCTCCGAGTAGGAGCGGCCGCTGGGGGAACCCAGGCTCAGCCCCGGCCCCACGTACTGGTACAGGATAAGCATGAAGCACACCGAGACGGCCACGATCAGCAAGAACTTGCTGGTCCTCTCAACCATGGTCCTTCCCGCACGCTTCATGTGTCACCATCTCCCGGGGCTGCCGGCGCTGGGCAGACTGCGGCGGTGCCGGGGGGTGGGCGGCGGAGCTCCGGCGTCTGTGCCAGCCGCCTCCCCCCGCTGCTCCCCGGAGCACAGCCTTCCCCGGGGGCGGCGGGCCGCTGCCTGGGTCGCCTCGGCTCGCCGCCGTCCCCGCCCGCCCGGGAGCGGGGCAGGGGCAGCCCGCAGCCAGCCGCTCCGGAGGCGCCGCGGCACAGCGGCAAACTTGGGAGAGACAGAGAGAGGGGCAGGAGGGGAGCGGAGAGGCACCGAAAGGCAAGAACCAGCCTCCTCCCGCCCTCCCTTCCCCGCGCTTCAGGAAGCCACCCCCATTCCGGCGCTGCCTCCGCCGTGCCCCAGCCCCCGCGGCACCGGCGCGGCTGTGCCCGCCCCCGCCGCCGGCTGTGCCCGGCTCGGCTCGGCTCGGCCGGGCTCGGCTGGGCCGGCAGCGAGCAGCGCTTCCTGGCCGCGCCGCCCCGCCCGGCATGCACAGCGCCGCCCGCGCCGCCCCGCGCCCGCGGCCGCGCTCCCACCGGCGGCGGCCCCGCCCGAGCCCGCTCTGCTCCGGACACAGCTCCGGGTACCGCTCCCGGCCCCGCTCTGGGCACCGCTCCCGGCCCTGCTCCCCTCAGGGCACCGCTCCGGGCACTGCTCCCCTCCGGGCACCGCTCCGGGCACCGCTCCGGGCACCGCTCCCCTCAGGGCAGCGCTCCCCTCAGGGTACCGCTCCGTGCACCGCTCCGGGCACTGCTCCCTTCCGGGCCCCGCTCCCCTCAGGGCACCGCTCCCGGCCCCGCTCCCCCGCCCAAACCCCCGCCGCTGCAGACCCAGGTGGGCTGCGAGCCGGCTGCGCCTCCCCGAAGCACTCGGCTGTCAGCGCTTCCTTTATGTGCCGCCTTCAAATGAATCCCGAGCAGCGGAGCTCGGGCTCCTCGGGGCCAGGTTTCTGCTCCGCTTTGAGGCAGATTGAGTGGGGATAGGAGCGGGTCTGCTCCCGCTGCGGCCGCCACATGGGCCACCGCGAGGCTCTGGTTGCGGCGTCGCAACTGGATGGGAGAGGAAAATGCTCCGGCTACACACAGGGTGATGATGGCTGTGAGCTGGAAGAGCCTGGGTACACCATCAGCCACAGAATGTGTGAATAATAATAATAATAATAATAATAATAATAATAATAATAATAATAATAATAATAATAGTAGGTGAAGCTGAGGCAAAAATCGGCAGGGGTGTTATTTATAGCAAACTTTCCCAGCGAAATGCTTTGTGCTGCTCAGTCAGGCGGACTCCGTCCAGCAGCATGGCTGCTGCAGAGTTGGTTTGGCATCTTAAGTCCCCCAAAACGAAGCAAAGCCTTGGGAACGCCAGAAGTGCCCGCACGGAGCCGGCTTAGAGCGATCCCCTCTGCAGGGCAGCCCTTGGCTGGGGAAGATGATGCTGCGAGGGTCGGTGCGGTCCGGAGCCGCGGAGCCCGGCCGGTGTGCCCGGAGCCGGGCATCCCTTACCGGAGCGGCGAGGGACAGGCAGCACCCGCGGCACCAAGGCAGGTGGGGGTCACTGCCACCAAGTGTCCAGGGAACCCCTGGAAAGCACCACTTGGTGCCTCTCTGAGTGTAAAGGGAGGAGGGAGCATGGCTCCATGTCAAGGAGTGAGGTTAAAATGTAGTGGCAGTCATGCTGCCACCTCATCGAGACCTGAGTTATTGTCTATGCAGTATAAATTATACGGGCAATTGTTAATTTCTAGCAAAACAAAACAAACAAACAAAAAAAGTCTAACTGAAGTGCCTTGTCCTCCTGTCATTACTGATGTTGGAGAAAGTTTCCTTAAATTTCTGATGCTTTTTCAAAATAGAAGTTACAATAAGATTTTAGTGCTCCAGCACTGAAATATTCCATCAGGTTACATTTTTTAAAAGCAAGTTTTAGGTTGCATTTTAATCCAAATCAGGTTGCATTTTAATCCAAATGCTTTATGTAAATGTAAAGGAATTCATGCCGATGGGTCATTGTTAAACACTGGGTCAAATTTATAATGGCCAAGGAGGAAATGAGATCCTGGATTTTCATTTGAACACCCTGACAGATAAATCTGCTACATTTTGAGATGGCTACATTACTCACAAGTTATGGAGCCCCAGTGAGTTATGCAGTTCTTCCCAAACAAGTAACAATAAAATGTTTATAGTGCCCAAAAGCATCGTATGTTGTGTTCAAACCATTCATTCTGTTTGATATTTTCCTCTTAAAAGTCTGCTTCTGATTCTTCTCTTCTCATGTAGGTTAGTTGCTCCAGAAACAATGATGTCATTCTTATGCACAGAGTTCAGCTATACTGAGAAGCAGAGCACAAACCTAATTTACAGGTTTGAAATTTATATTAAGATTTAGGAAATACCCCTATGTAAACATGATGTTTACATACATGGTTGCACTGTACATTGCAGCATAAAAAACACAGAGCAGATTTTTTGATTGCAATGTGTTTGCCTACAGGTCTAAATGTGTAAGTATTTAGAAATGCCAGAACTGTGGAGAAATCAGCCATTAAATTATTTCCAGTTACATGAGCAATTGTAAATGAATTGTTTTAAACTCTTAACATTTAAAATATTTTGCCCTTTTCATTAGTTATAAAGATGGAGATTATAGATTTCATTATAGATTTATATTTGTGGTAAATACAGTGCCTGTTAGTTTGTGAAAGAACTTACTAAAATTCAATTCATGTAAGATAAACACCACAATGGAAAATACAGAGTTATGGCTGAAAATGTGCTGTTTTCTTTACTGCAGCACCTTCATCTAAAAGTGGGGGCTTGGGGAACATGCTGGAAGCATAGGGAAGGCCTGTACCTTTCTGATTTACACTTAGACAATTACTACTGCTTTTATTTTTATGAAGTGCTTTGGAATCCTTCCCTGATAATTCTATATGCTGCTCTGAAATTTTGGTATTTTAAAGGTTCTTACAGGTGTGACTCACCTAAAAATGATCACTTAAACAAATACTTAATCTCTGCTTATATTCAAAATTCCACTGAAGACAATGGTAGAATAGTTTTTCACTGCATGTGGGGTTAAAAGTCAGGTACCACATCTGTGCTAATTTAGATTAGCAGAATTTAGAGAGGACCCAAGTAAAGTTAGAATAAGAAGATTGACGCTTTCCCTGGCTCTGGCATTGAAAGCAACAGTGTAAAGAGGTGAGAAATCTGACAAATGCAAGTTGTTCCTGCTGCCCCCTGTGATGTACTGTAACTGCCTGTTTATCCTCTGAGTTCACCTCCACCATGAATTTAACCATTGTCCATCTTTCCAAGCTGAATCTTCCACTCCAGGCCACACCTCCCTAGGCTTTCCCAATCTTATCTGGAATTCACCTCCCTGGTTCTGACTAGCTCCTGAAGCAAAGCCCAGTTTCCTGTGAAGCTGTGTGACTGACAATCTGCAATCATCGGGATGCCTAAAATCTAAATTTTTACACAAAAAGCATTTTGAGGGGAAAGTTGTTTTTTTATCTCTAACCTGTGGACTGGAGGAGCTGCATTTCAGATTTTCTCTCTATATTTTCCTAGGCAAATGCAAACAGAAGACACCCCCCCATGGCCCACTGAAAAATTTCTCTGTAATTTTAGTGTCCATCTAATCCTTTGCATCCTTCCACTCCAGAACTGTGCCACACTGAGCAGAACCCTCTTACACCAGCAAACTGAAATATTATGTTTGACACTTCTGTAGGAATCCAGTTGATTTTGGAGGATAACCTGCATTCAGTGAATTTTCACACAACTGAGTTCCTTCAGGTAGATTTGAAAGGTATTTTTGTACATACTAACCTGTGTTTGTGAAGGAACTAACTTTGAATTCTCACTACAAAATAATTCAGACTGAGGTCAGGCTTAGGTAACTAGCTAAGTTACCTAAGCTTGGTCTGCACTCAGCCCCTTTCCTGGCTTTCCTAGCTATGTAAGCCAGCACTCATGATTTATTCACAGTAAAACCTTGCTAGGAGTCAGGTACAAGGGTTAAAGATCTTCTTAGAGAGAACAATAAATAGGCACAAATTTTAAACAGGCAGTTGAAAAGTATTTTATCATTGCTTGCTGCTGGCTATAGGATGCCTAAATATTTATGTTAAATCTACTTAAATATTCTAATCTAATCTAATAAAATATTCAAATGTGAGTTAACACTGAGGGGAGGACAAACTCGGGTATCATCAGAGTATGGCTCATCACAGGAAACCTGCCATGAGAAAAGAACAGTGAGAAATGTATTAACCACACACCACCTCTGCCACCGAAACCTCAATGAAATACTCATCTCAAAGCTTAATAAATAAATAGTGGCTTTACTAGGCAAGGGAAGTCTAAAGGCTTCTTGACTCAGAAGATACAATAGTTTGCTGTGAACTAGTATAACTTAGTTAATCAAAACATTACAAAAAAATCCTCTTTTAACACTTGCAAACCCTAAGAAATACCTCAAGAAATGTATTACCCTTAAATAAAGTTCTATTTCTCACACTTAAAAAAAAAAAAAAAAAAAAAAAAAGCCTGTGTTTACTTTGTTTCCAGAGTATAAACTCTCCATTACCCCAAAGAGGTTGAAACAAACCACTTGTAACCTCAATTCAGCTGTTTGGGTTTATAACCCAGCTCCTTTAGGAAGAGTGGGCATGTGATACTCATTTGCTTTGCTGATGTATGTACACAATATCCTGAGTGAATGGTGAGGGGGTCACAAATCACAGACCATAGCCCTTCACCTGTAATATCAACATTCAGACCTACAGCAAAGTGGAGAACTCTTGGTTTTCTGATTTAAACTGATTTTGCTTGTCCACTGCTGCTGCAGCATCAGTGACTGTTACCAGCCCTGCACGTTTGCACAGAGTGGCAGCACTCACTCATCATTTTCCTCTGATGCTTGTACTTCTAACTGGAAACCTGTAGCAGTTTGTGAACTCTAGTGTAAATACTCCACTGCCAGGCTGGTCACAGCCCCACAGAGATCCCACAGCCAGCAAAGTGACCACTGATCCCTGAGCACAGCACGGCTCCACTTAATCAAAGGAAGGAGGCATTGAATGATGCCAAAACCTGTTAGACTCAGCAAACCTGGTTCTGATTTCAGGCTCTTTTGGGGACCACGGGAAAATCCTGCTCTTTGAAAGGTACCAAAGACAGTCCTAGAAACCCTGGCAGAAACCAAAACAGTGAAG